AATAATCCACTCCTAAAATTATAGTTTAACTACTGTTAAGCAAAAAACCCACAACCCACCAAAAAAAAAAACCCCCAAAACCAAATCCACCCTCAAAGATTTAAGTAATGGAGAACTGTTATATTAGTTTGGACACATTTTAGGGCGGTTAGAATTGGATGTAAGTAAAAATTGAAGTTGTATTACTGTATTCCTATTAAATTGAAAAAAAAAATCATGTCATGGTAGTTCAGAATAACAGACAAATACCTCTTGACTTCAAAAATTACTATAGTTTACATATCTTTTTTTAAAAAAGTGTTCATTTGTGTCAGGAAGGAGTAGCTCTAGTTGAATGTTAGTTTTAATTTCACATGTAGTGTGTGAAGTGAATCAATCACCAATGCTGGAGTTATCCTGGAAACTTTTTCAAAAGGAGAATCTCAGCAATGTAAAATCTGAAAATACAAACTTCCACCTATCCATGTTACTGTCATGCAGGGCAGAGTTTTATTTCACTCTTAAGGGAAAGTAGAAGCAAAGCTGAGTTAGGAAAAAGTAGAAGTCAGTCTTTTTCATGAATGTTAGAAGGAAGAAAATCAAACTCATTTCTTTTTTATAGAAGTAAATATTGGTAATTCGTTTTTCAGCAAATAACAAATGTCTTTGCAATTAATTTTGCATGATTGGCCTTCGGTCATCAGCAAAGAGATGTGATCAGTCATATTTTAGTAGTTACTCAAAATGTCATATACATCAAGTCAAAATCTGCTCAGTGATCAAATAAGTAGGTATTTGTTAGCAATACTCTGTGTAGCTTTCAGCTTTCCTGTGGTGTCAGCCAGATTCCTGTAGTTTTGTCATTTTTGAAACTTTCAGGTTTCAAAACCCCAGCCCTGTGCATGGAGTAAGTGCTCTGGCAGGGAAGGTTGTGGTTTGGGAAGTAATGGATCCTGGCAGTGAGGGACAGCTCATGTTTGTGGCAGGATCTAAAAAGGATCTTCATGTTACTTTAAACCCAAAATGGAGAAGGAGAGTTGGCTTTAGGGCTGGAAAATATTTTATCTTCTCAGCCTTGAAATTTAACTGGAATCTTACTTAAAAAGTGTGAAACTGGCCAGAATTCTTAACTGTTAGGGGTGGAAAAAAGGAGAGGCCAATGGGGAGAGTTCCAAACTTCAGGTATTTCCTTCCTGCTCTGACTTTGTTGGACTGTTTTAGAGTAATTTTGACCTAAACCTTTGTTGTGGGATATATTGTTACGAAATGTATTGCTAATAAAACTAGAGGGAAAAATTCTCACTGTGTCTTGGTGAGCATTTGCTGGGATTTTTGAACACCAGCCTTTGGATATCAGTTGGATACCTGTTACTTTGCCTTAGAATCAGTGAAAGTACTTAGAGGACAGTAAATATTTGCTTTCTAAGCTGGATGGACACCATGGGTACTGAAGATCACAGGGAGCTTGAAATAAGTATTGCTTATATTTTTAACAGTCAGATTCTTGCTGGTTATTGGCTTGTGCACTTTTTGGAAATAAATACCATGTTTTCAAAAGTGTGACTGCTCTTAGATCTAAAAATAACCTTGTACTACTCAGTTCTAAGACTTATCTAAAGCTTGTTTTGTATGGGTTTAAAGTTCCTTATGATGGGAAATAAACCTGCTGTCTATGTCTGTAGTACTAACAGATTTCTGTGGCTTAAACCAAGATGTTGTACTGGTTTCAGTCTCACTTTGAATCCTTTTGGTTGAAATTTTCCAAACACATTGATTCCAAAATTGAAGTGGTAGAAAAATATTGTTATGCCCAAGTGAGTTATTTAGAAATGTTTTATTATAGCTCTGTTTTCAAGGAAGAAAATTGAGTTTGGCTGCACTGAGGATGTTTAAGTACGTACGAGCTGTGTGAAATTCAACAGGACTTACCATGCATTTGCAATTCAGGGCTGCCTGGGGAGGAGATAGATTTGGGCATAATAACAAGGGTACAGGTTGGCAGAAGAGGGGAAGCTGATACAAAGAACTATTATTTAAAATATCAGTAGAGGATCCTTTTCAACCTGTGCTCTCACTGGGAGTTTTCCTGGCAGGAAAAAGAGGGGAAATTGCTTGGAGTAGGTGCCCAGACAAGGAAGTCAGGGTCTGGGTGGAGTGAATAGAGCTCCCAACCAGCTGCCACACAAGATCACGAGCTTAGAGTCTGGAAGCTGGGAAGCTGGATCCATGCTGGCATTAGGAACCAGTGGGCAGAGAGAAAGCTGTGATGGGGATGAGAGAATATATCTGAGAGCAAGCAGGACCAGGAGAACAGTAAGGGAATTGGGCAGAGAATTAATACTGGGGAAGATGCTTGAGACTGGGTTACAAACGTGGTCACAGAAGCAGAGATGTCTGCTTGTTTTGTAGCCTAAGCCTGTTATCCTTTAGCCTGGCACTAAAACCGAAGTTTGGAAGTGAGAGGAGAGACTGATAAGGATCTGTTAGCTCAACCAGGGCAGAATACATCTAGTTTGAAAGAAGCAGGTAGAGAAGCCTATGATTACTGCAGTGCCATTTGGTGCTTGGAACCAAGCCCAGCCAGATCATTGCTGCTGCCAGTTCTTCAGCTAGGGTGGTAGATATGTGATACTTAGGGTTTATTAGCCCAGGTTTCAGTAAGTTTCCACATAATTTGTTTATCACTGGCTGTTTTAGAAATGACTAAGATATGTGTAGGCATGTATTGTATCTAGGGAAAAATATGAAGAATTCGAGACCTTCTAAGTCCAGCTCTCCAAAATTAGGAAAAAGCAGGTTGTCTGTGAGCACCACATTCTCTCTCCAGGTGTGTTATGTGCATGTGACTACATGCTGGAATTGAGATGCAAGATGAAAACCATCTTGTGTGAAACTGCCTTGATGAACTAGGTTCTCTCATGCCACCACTGCAATGACCTTATGCATTATCCAGTAATAAACTAATAGCAAAATAGCTCAATTTCTGTTGGTCTGCTGGGTGCCTCACACAGGGATGTGCAGCATGCAGAAGGGCTGTGTATTCCCTGGGATGGCTGTAAGAGCATTACTTTGAGAAATAGGCTTTTATCACCAAGGCTTCTGAGATGAGGGAACGTGTTTAACCTCAGTTTGAAAGTACCTCTGGCAGCTCCTACATGCAGTGATGCTAGAGGTGTGTTTTGGGAGCAAAGGGTCAGGATCCTCAAGGCTTGTATTCAGTTGGTCTTTTGGCAGGCAGCCAGTGCTGTCCTGCTCAACACGAGGGAAGGGCAATGCTGTTGAACATCCTTGTTCAGCTAAACCTGAACAGATTTTTATGGGACAAATAAATGTCACTTTTTCCATCCCAAATAGCTCCCTTTTCTTCCAACTGCTGTTGTTGCGAACAGCCTGTGAAATTCAAAGGCATTGGTCTGTTCCAAGGTGGCAAAAATATTGTGTGTGGCAACTGTTCACTTGCAGAAGCATAGCAGCTCCTCCTATGAATGGTGTGTATGTTATGAGGACTGTCATGCTTGAGTGTAATATAATGTCTTTGCACTAAATGAAATACCCACAAGAGCCTGGCAGACTAGAAGCACTCCAGGAATTGTAAAGTATTTACAGTTGATGGCTGTATCTTGACATAAAATAAGTAGTCACAGTCTTCCTTCCAAATAAGAGGTCTCGGTGTCTCACATGTCCCCATTTAGGTGTTTTCAGGAAGGCCACAGGTCTAATAATGGCTCTGATCCTCAGTTCCTCTCATCTGCTTGTTTGGGCCTTGCCAGTCCCAGTTGTGTCATGCTGGTAGAAAGGTGTGAAGTAGTTTTGTTTGTCCTGTGCTACTTTGGTAGTGAGTAAACTTCAGTTTCCAGGGCAAGTACCCATTTTTGCTGTGTGAGAAATTCTTTTCTTAATATGTTAATGTTTGTGCAGTACAAAGAGGATGGAGTGAGACTGTGCAGACTGTTGGTGAGGGCAGCTCAATAGATGAATGATAAGCCCCTGCAGCTTAGTTGTTTGACCCTTTGCTGATGACCATACTTCATTCTAGCAGGGAGGTTCTGGCCTGATGTCTGTTTTGAAAAGCTTGTCTTCAGCAGTGGCAAGTTTTAAGCTTCAAGGTGAGCATCACATGTAGACAGAACGATGGTACCACTGAATCCATATAAAGAGGAAAACAAGGATGTTCATAGATTGTTTTCATTACTTACTTGATTTACTCACAAAATAAGGAAATGCTTGAGAATGATTGATGTGAAGCAAAGCCTATTCTGTGTACCAGAGGTTGGAACATGTTCTGTCAGCTTCTGATATAAAAGAAAAAAAATAAGTGTGAATTACTCAAATGTGTCTACTGGAAAGTTCTGCTTTTGGATTGACATCCTACTTCCTGCAGTATGCACAGGTTCACTTCACACTAAACAAAAACAAACACAAAAAAACCCCAACACCCAACTGGAGGAAATAAAATTTTGTACTCTTTTGTATAATGCTTCAGATGCTAAGCTGTGAATAGACAGAAATATTACTCCTCCCTTACTTTTTTTAGAAAGCTGATTTCTTTAATTTTCTGGATGCCATAAATTGCCTTTCATCCCCTCTCCCCCTCCATTTTTTCTTTTTTTTGAAGTAAAGCTGCTTCACTTCTGTAGCTTACATTATACTAAATTGATGATGAAGAATAGTACGAGTTAAGAAGATAAATGTCAGAAATGTCTTCTGAAGTAGACATTCAGATTTTTTTGGATTAGTGGGAAAGAAGGTCA